CACTCCTCCAGCATGGGTAAATCTTGAATCTTCCAGTGCTTTGCAATGAGGATTCTTGCTGCTGTAGTAGCGTACATAAACAAAGTTCTGTCCTTCTTTAACACCTTCTGGTCCACCATGCCCAATAGGAAGGCCTCTGGTTTCTTGGGAAAGGTATACCTAAATACCTTTTTTAACTCGTTGTAAATCATTTCCCAGAAGGCCTTCACTTTTGGGCAGGTCCACCAAAGATGAAAGAATGTCCCTTCTGCCTCTTTACATTTCCAACATTTATTATCAGACAAGTGGTACATCTTAGCTAACTTAACTGGGGTCATGTACCACCGGTATATCATTTTCATAATGTTTTCTTTCAAGGCATTACATGCCGTAAACTTTATACCGGTGTTCCATAACCTTTCCCAGTCTTCAAACATAATGTTGTGTCCAATATCCTGTGCCCATTTTATCATGGCAGATTTAACTGTCTCATCCTGTGTAGAAAAGCCTGTTCTCGTGTTGCCACCCTCTTGTGGAGGGGGCACATGTGAATGACGATTGCAGGGTCCAGGTCAGTTCACGTGAGGAGAGGCAGTCCTTGAGGTACAGCGGTCCTGAGCCATTTAAGGCTTTATAGGTCAAAACCAGCCCTTTGAATTGGACCAGAAAACTAGTTGGCAGCCAGTGCAGTTGGGCCATGACTTTTAGCAGCCAACTGTGATCCTCACAGTGGGGTGAGAAATGGGAGAGAGGTTGTGTTTAGACTAGAGGAGAACCACTGGACCATGCAGGCAACTTCATGGTTTGGAAGACAGCCCACAAAGTTCTGATCCCATAGACCGATAAGGTGAGAAATGGTGGAAAATAAGGCAAGGTGAGAGAGTCTATTGCTTCAGTGGAAAAGATGTTATTTGGTTCCCATAATGGGTGCAAACAAGGAAAGAAAGACTCTTTGCTTTCTTTCCAGTGGAAAAAAAGTATTTGCTTAACTCAATCTCTGCCACCCTACAGATGTTTTGGGTTACAATTCTGATCAGCCACAGCTGGATGGTGACCGATGCAAAACAGAGGCAGAGCAAGATCCCTGCCAGAGCTACATGAGTCCCAAATGGGATGAATGAAGTCTGGTGCCCATAGAGACTCATGGGGTGGGGGGAGAGAGACAAAAATCTCAAGGGTAGAGTCAGAGCCAATGACAAGAAGAGGCAAATACTTCTACTTTAGCCTCTGCAGAGATCCAAAATGACATTGGCGACACTATGTCTAAAGAGGACTGGATCCCTGGATTGGATGTAAGTAAGGAGACAGGCAGGCGGCCCCGAAAAAGCACAAGATTGTGGCCCTGAAAAAGCACTTTCTTTGGGGCCGCTGTGCTCTCAAGGGGGGAAACGGGCTGTCCCAGTTTTTCCAGGACACTTGCAGGGGTGGCGCTGTGGTCTAAACCACCGAGCCTCCTAGGCTTGCTGATCAGAAGGTTGGCGGTTTGAATCCCAAGACGGGGTGAGCTCCTGTTGCTCTGACGCAGCTCCTGCCAGCCTAGCAGTTTGAAAGCATGCCAGTGCAAGTAGATAAATAGGTACCGCTCTGGTGGGAAGGTAAACGGTGTTTCTGTGCACTCTGGTTTCCGTCAAGGTGTTCCGTTGCACCAGAAGCGATTTAATTATGCTGGCCACATGACCCAGAAAGCTGCCTGTGGACAAACACCAGCTACCTCGGCCTGAAAGCGAGACAAGCTCCGCACCCCACAGTCGCCTTTGACTGGACTTAACCGTCCAGGGGTCCTTTACATTTTTATCTTTTTTACTGCTTTTGGCAAATGCTGAGGGCACATCTCTTGGCCTTTGATACCTGAGATGTGTGGTTGGGGTGGGGTGCGCTTTTTCCCTGTTACTGTAATTTGTTTTAACTGTTCTTAATCTTAAACTGTTGTAACTTGCCCTGGGACCTGGTGGTAAAGGGCAGATAATGCATTTTAAATAAAATAAAACAAGTAACAAAAATATAAAGCAAAACAGCACTGTGCAACTTGCTACTTGAGAACGATTGCCCAGGAGTCAATTACAACTTGGCCCCAGGTGAACGGCAACTTAAAAACCTGCATTAGTGGTTCTAATGATGAGTATAAGTTAGATAACGGCTAACAATGTACACCGCAGTGCCCCAGTGGCAGTTGGGGTTTTTTTTACACCCAGTGACCAAGCCAGACGGTTTACATGCCATCCCCATAGAGACAGCTGCAGGCAATTCTGGAATGGTCTTCTGTGTTCCTTACGAGGTTAGGAAAGAAAACGGGAGGAGGGAAGAGGTGAAAGGGAAGGGCAGCAAGGCCTGGTGTGAGTTGGAGGAAAACCAAGAGGCCAGAAGAAGATAAGAAGAGCCTGCTGAATAGCCCATCTAGCCCAGCATCTTGTTCTCACAGACGCTAACCAGATGCCTGTGGAAAACCAGTATGGAGGACTCAAGCACAGGAGTACCCTCGCCTCCTGGGGAAGACCAAGCATAGCCATCATGGGTTATGACCTTCATGAATCTGACTCATCCTCTTTTAAAGCCATTTTAAAGCCATCTAAGTTAGTGGTGGGGATGTGGGTGGCGCTGTGGCTTAAACCACAGAGCCTAGGACTTGCTGATCAGAAGGTCGGCGGTTCGAATCCCCGCGACGGGGTGAGCTCCCGTTGCTTGGTGCCAGCTCCTGCAAACCTAGCAGTTTGAAAGCACGTCAAAGTGTATGTAGATAAATAGGTACCGCACCGGCGGAAAGGTAAATGGCATTTCTGTGTGCTGCTCTGGTTCGCCAGAAGCGGCTTAGGCATGCTGGCCACATGACCCGGAAGCTGTACGCCGGCTCCCTCGGCCAATAAAGCAAGATGAGCGCCGCAACCCCAGAGTCGGCCACGACTGGACCTAATGGTCAGGGGTCCCTTTACCTTTAAGTTAGTGGTCATCACTGCCTCCTGTGGGACAGAGTTCCCAGTTCAACTATGCACTGCATGAAGAAGTACTTTCTCTGATCTGTCCTGAATCTTCAAACGTTCAGCTTCGTTGCTGAGAGCAGCAAGAGGTAAGGTTTTAAAATGATGGAATATGCACAGCTTGCGGACTTAACATATAGAATAAGAGAAGAAGAAGAACATACGTTTAGAGAAGATTGGAAAATGTTTATTGAATATTGGGGGGGGGATTGTGTACACTTGAAAACGCTGGCAGCATTAAGATAAATTCAACAGTGTAAATAAGTTTTGATGGACGTAATACAGTGGCACCTCGGGTTAAGTACTTAATTCGTTCCGGAGGTCCGTTCTTAACCTGAAACTGTTCTTAACCTGAAGCACCACTTTAGCTAATGGGGCCTCCCACTGCTGCTGCGCCGCTGGAGCACGATTTCTGTTCTCATCCTGAAGCAAAGTTCTTAACCTGAGGTACTATTTCTGGGTTAGCGGAGTCTGTAACCTGAAGTGTATGTAACCCGAGGTACCACTGTAATGGAATACTGAATGGTTTGGTTTATGTAAAATATGCAGGGATTTATGATATGTAAAATGAACCATGGAAAGAGAAGAAAGGAAGTCACTGATATTTTGATGTTTAAATGAGTATTCTATATTGTAAAACAAATTTTTTAAATAAAAATTATATATAAAAAATAAAATAAAATGGTTGCTTTTAATGGCAGGATCAAGTCCTAGGAGTTTAAAAGCTGCATTAGAAGAGAATTCCTCTGAGCATATGCAGTCAGCTTCTACCCATCTACAGTCAGCTTCCACCCATCTAGAATTAGAGAGTAATATATAATAAGGTGCTAGTTCTGCATTTTATATGCCACAAGAAAACTCCTGTGTAACAGCTGGAGTTTCAGACTAGGCCCGGGAGAAAACAAAATCCATATCTCCATACCCAGACATAAAATAATTGGGGGATATTTGAACCAAACACTTCTCTTTAACCTAGCCTACCTCACAGGGACGTTGTGCTGATGACTGTGGTGGGGGAGGGGGAAAACCATGTACACCATCTTGAAAGGTCAGAAACGTAATAAGTAAATAACTCTTAGTGTAGTGCAGGAGATGAAAGAATGAAATCAATGAAGGCCCCAAACACAGATTCACAGGGGAGGCTGCCCACTGCATCTCTAAGTGATTCCCTGCTCTGGCCTTGGTTCTTTCACACCATACATTTAAAGTGGTGTCGTAGCGCTTTAAATGTATGCTGTCAACACACACGCACACAAATACACGTGTGCCTGAAGCAGCTCACACTACACTGCACAAACGACAACCACAATTCAGAAACCATGTTAGGAACCATTACAAATTAACCCATAATGTCAGTCTTTAAATATATCATTAAAAAATCGTCCTGTGCAAGCAACCTTGTACAAGTCAATAGACGCAACCAAACTGTTTTAACAGCTTGAAACTAAAGAGGTGCGAAGATCAAGCCTAGTGCAGAAATAGAGCAGCTGTACATAAGGCCAAAAGAGTGGGGGGGGGCGCGGATCTCTATTTCAAAAAAACAGTCTGCATAGATTCACCACAGTTAACTTACATCCCTTACATTCCCTCCCAACTCTCTCACCTGCTAAGTCCCTTCCCCATCGCTTACCTGGGGAGCTAAAGATTGTCACTCCTCCTACACTCACGGTCTTGATACAACTCGCAAACAGAAACAGTGAGTCCACATGAGAACGCAGTGCAACAGGTACGGTTCCTAAGCAGAGTGCAAATGTAGATGAGATACATACAGTGGTCATCTTCTTAGCTGTGATGGCACTGCGGCTGCCTCCCCACACAAGCACAAACTCAGCCACTATGTGTACCCCTCAGATAACTCTGGCTTATCAACCTCTAGCCGCTCCCACCTTAGGATGCTGTGATGCTAATCATGGAATCCATCCAGCCGTGATGCTGAATCTATTCATCTGTGATGCTGAACACACAGAATGCACTCAGTTTCTTAAGGCGGCCCGGCACATGTGCCTCGCCCCTTTGTTTGTGGCTGGTTATATGAGAGAGTGCCCTGATCTGTTAAGCGAGCTCTGAAATGGGACTGGTTGCCAGTGTCCTTGAGTGTCTGAAGTGATGACTGACAGCCGCACGGTCACACCCACATCTCCCCAGATGACATAAAATGAATGAACTTCCCCCAGCAGTTGGGACTGTAACTTCGCACTTGCCAGCTCACACACAGCTCCTCTTTCCCCTTCACCAAACAAGCAGGCAAATGACAAACTGATTGCGAGGACTATGATGGCAAGGAACACCGACATGCGCTGGCGGCTGCCGCTCGTTTGCCTCCTCTGGGAGCTTGCCATGATCATCCTTTTTGGCGTCTTCGTGCGCTTCAACGCAGAATCCGATATAGCCGGCTGGGAGAAGGCGAAGCAGGAGAAGAACATCACGAGCGACGCCGAGAATGACTTCTACTTCAGATACCCGTGTAAGTAATGTTGACATTTGGCCATTAACGTTATGGGGACCTTTCCAGATTGTCAGGATTTTTGAAGGAGGGGTTCTTACTGCATACCAGGAAATTTAGGTTTGGGCAACTGATGTGGATCAAAGCATTCTGTCATTCTGCTGCAACAAAGGCACTTTTTTTAAAAAAAGAAACAGGCTGTTTGCAGTTAGGAAAGTGGCAGGAGAGTTGACGGTGTTTGAAAGTGAGGGGTGAAGGGATGATTTAGCAGAAAGCTGCATAAAAACCCTGCAAGCAAATCAGGATGAATGCTCATTGTTGTATAAACTTCCTGCAAACAAATCAGAATCAATGCTCAAGAAACACCAGGTATAAACTAGCCTCCGTGTAAGCTTTGTGCAAGGGAATCAGGATGGCTGCTCAGTAAACAGGTGATCCAGAGGAGCCCAGTGGTTCTTTATTTCTCCCATTGGACCCCACCCAGGGGGCACCATCTATATGTAGATCTTGGGACCCCAACCACTGCACACTTGGTGTTGGCAAGCACCCAAAGGAAAGGGGTTAATTGGGAATCATGATCCTGCATTGGTGAGGCAAGTTATCACAGAGGAATGATTTCAGTCCCAGATCAGTTTAATTTCAGTATTCTGGTCATATACAGCCAGCCCTACCATTGGACAAAGTGCCTTGGCTTTTTCAGGCACTGATCTTAGATGCTGTGAAAGGGCAACAATGATCAACTATCTATTTTTTTATTGTATTTTGAGGCAGGGATTTTTCTCAGGTGCCAAAATACTGGATACCCTGACTCAGGGAGAGGTTTTCTGTTTTCCGTTCTGCTTCAGGCCAAAAAGAATTCTGGGCCAGTCCTAGTTTTAGACAAGACTAGTTTCTTCCTCACTAAGGGGAAGGGGTGGGCAGTGTGCTCAGGCATTCTGATACAGAAACAAACTATTTCTAGCAGCAAAAACATAACTTTAATGCAGTTTTGCACAAAGGAGTCTTGATATAGTGAAATGCAGAGAGCAAAGCCTTTCCTGCAGGTGTGGAGAACCTTTAGTTCTCTCCCTCGGATGTTGCTGAACTGCAACTCCCATCATCCCTTGGGCATTGGCCATGCTTGCTGGGGCTGATGGGAGATGTAGTTCAGCAACATCTGGAGGGCCAAAGGTTCACAGAATTGTAGAGTTGGAAGGGGCCACGTGGGGCATCTAGTCTAACCCCCTGCAATGCAGGAATCTTTTTGCCTAACGTGGGGCTCGAACCAACAACCTTGAAATTAAGAGTCTCATGCTTTACAGACTGAGCTATCCTCACACCTGATTTACGGAAGCATTCTGAGCCAGTGACCATCCTTGAGCTTATTCGGTTGAACAACTGGTACGGTTAGGTTAGGTAGAACTGTGGACTTGGTGTTCTTATGGGATAGTGCTCTTTGGGTGGGAGACCATGGTAAGCCCACCCAACTGACTTTTGAGGGTCCTTCTGCTCCTTCTGCTGAAGTGGGGACTAGACTCTTGCCCTTCAGGCATCACTGCAACTAAGTGTGCATATTGGAGGGCAAGGGCAGCTTGAGAAAGGAATAGATGGCCCTGCTTAGGGAAGAGATGTTGAACTAGGACCAGACCTGAGAGACCAGGGTTCAAAGCCTAACTTTGCCAGGAAGTTCACCTTGCCTCTCAGCTTAACTTACTTAATAGGGTTGTTGTGTGGATTCAGTGAGGAAGGGGGAAACCATGTACCCCACCTTGTGAGCTCCTGGAAAAGTGGGGTATCATCATCATCAGTGCTTTTTTTTCCTTTAAAAATGTTTAGAGGTACTCTCCTTTTCCTACTCATATTGAAATACTGTCCCTCAATGAGGCCAAAGTTAGATTCACAAAATGTTTAGGGGTTTGTGTACCCCTTGTGTAGCAGCAATAATAATAATAATAATAATAATAATAATAATAATAATAATAATAATACTTATTTATTATTTATACCCTGCTCATGTGGCAGGGTTTCCCCAGCCACTCTGGGAGGTTCCCAACAGAATACTAAAAACACGATAAAACATCAAACATTAAAAAGTTCCCTAAAAAGGGCTGCTTTCAGATGTCTTCTAAAAGTCTGATAGTTGTTTATTCCCCTCACATCTGGTGGGAGGGCATTCCACAGGGTGGGCACCACTACCGAGAAGGCCCTCTGCCTGGTTCCCTGTAACCTCACTTCTTGCAATGAGGGAACCACCAGAAGGCCCTCGGAGCTGGACCTCAGTGTCTGGGCTGAATGATGGGGGTGGAGATGCTCCTTTGGATACAAATGCAACAAACTAACTAAATAAAACCAAGTTAAGAGGATGAGGTCACATCCACACTACATTTAAAGCACATTTATAGCACTTCAACAGTCATGGCTGCCCCCTGAGAATCCTGGTGGTTTGCTTACCGTTTGCTTACCGTTTGCTTAACTGTGGTTTGCTTACCGTTTCCCAGCCCCCTTTACAAATTCAGTTATTATTATTCTTTGGGGTAAGTCATGGGCTTTCAGTCTTGAGTGTGAATGGAGCCTGAGTCAAGTAAGAACCTCTATGGACAGTGGTGAAGAACCTCAAGCCTGAAGACCAAATGTGGCCCTCTAGGCCTCTCTTTATGGCCCTCAAAATCCTCCTCATTCAGACCCCTCACTGACTGTACCATTCACTGGCTTTACCATTATGTCTAAATGGGAATCCTATGAGGAATGTTGGGCTGAGGTGGTAGTTTCTGTCCAAAGGTTATGCAATGACCTTTCATGGCCAAACACGCTTCCTTCTCAGTTCAAGTGAATACAGTGGTACCTCAGGTTACATACGCTTCAGGTTACATACGCTTCAGGTTACATACTCCGATAACCCAGAAATAGTGCTTCAGGTTAAGAACTTTGCTTCAGGTTGAGAACAGAAATCGTGCTCCGGCGGTGCGGCAGCAGCAGGAGGCCCCATTAGCTAAAGTGGTGCTTCAGGTTAAGAACAGTTTCAGGTTAAGTACGGACCTCCAGAACGAATTAAGTACTTAACCCGAGGTACCACTGTACTCTGTTCAGGACACCACACTGGGCCTCCACAAGTTATTCTGCTTAAACAATCCTAGAGGCAACTGTAATAATAATAATAATAATAATAATAATAATAATAATAATAATAATAGTAGTAGTAGTACAGTGGTGCCTCGCAAGACGAAAAGAATCCGTTCCACGATTCTCTTCGTCTAGCGGTTTTTTCGTCTTGCGAAGCAACCCCATTAGCGGCTAAGCGGATTAGCGCTATTAGCGATTTAGCGCTATTAGCGGCTTAGCGGGCTTAGCGGCTAAGCTGTTAAAAGGCTATTAATGGCTTAGCGGCTTTGAAAAAGGGGGGGGGAAGCGGGGAAAAAATGGCGAGACTCAAGCCCATAGGGAAATTCGTCTTGCGAAGCGCCTCCGCAACGGAAAACCCTTTCGTCTTGCGGGTTTTTTGTCTTGCGAGGCATGAACTCCTGGACCACCGCCTTGCCGACGTGGGGATCCAGGGCACAGTCCTTCAATGGCTGCGCTCGTTTCTCTCTGGTCGGGGACAGAGGGTGGCGCTTGGGGGGGAATTGTCATCGCGCCACTCCTTGGTGTGTGGAGTGCCTCAGGGTGCGATTCTCTCCCCGATGCTTTTTAACATCTTTATGCGCCCCCTCGCCCAGCTTGTCCGGAGTTTTGGGCTGGGTTGCCATCAGTATGCCGATGACACCCAACTCTATCTGTTGATGGATGGCCATCCTGACTCGGCCCCAGACACACTGACCAGATGTCTGGAAGCTGTGGCTGGATGGTTACGTGGGAGCCGGTTGAAGTTAAATCCTGCGAAGACAGAGGTCCTCTGGCTGGGGCGGGACGATATGGGATCGAGGGGGCAACTCCCATCTCTTGCGGGGGTGCAATTGGTGCCAGCACCGTCCGTTAAGAGTCTGGGTGTAATCTTCGATACCTCCCTCTCTATGGAGGCGCAGATTACAGCTATAACAAAGGCGGCATTTTTTCATCTCCGCCAAGCTAAGCAGTTGGCCCCTTATCTCTCTCGCCCTGACCTAGCCACTGTGATCCATGTGACGGTCACCTCCAGACTGGATTATTGTAACTCGCTCTACGTGGGGCTGCCCTTGAGACTGACCCAGAAACTCCAGCGGGTACAGAATGCCGCAGCAAGACTCCTTACGGGGTCCTCGCTGCGAGATCACATTCACCCGGTGCTATACCACCTGCACTGGCTCCCGGTGGAGTATAGGATCAGGTTTAAGGTGCTGGTTTTAACCTTTAAAGCCCTATACGGCCTAGGACCCTCGTACCTACGGGACCGCCTCTCCTGGTATGCCCCACAGAGAAACCTACGGTCTGTAGATAAAAACATCCTCAAGGTCCCAGGCCTCAGAGAGGTTAGGCTGGCCTCAACTAGAGCCAGGGCCTTCTCGGCTGCGGCTCCAATCTGGTGGAATGCTCTGTCACAAGAGACTAGGGCCCTGCGGGACCTGACATCTTTCCGCAGGGCCTGCAAGACAGAGTTGTTCCACCAGGCCTTTGGTCAGGGCGCAGCCTGACTCCCTCCTCTGGCAACCTGCACAGTATTTTGGTTGCCATCAATTTGATTTTAATTAATTTTTATAATGAAATATTTTAGAATGTGTGATTATTCAACTATTTGGTTATTTGATTGTTGTTAGCCGCCCTGAGCCCAGCTTCGGCTGGGGAGGGCGGGATATAAATAAAATTTATTATTATTATTATTATTATTCGTCTTGCGGGGCACGACTAGTAGTAGTAGTAGTAGTAGTAATCTGGGCAGCTCCCAACGGAATATTAAAACATGATAAAATGTTAAACATTAAAAACTTCCCTGGCAAAGGGGTTTTGGGATGCTGATTTTTCTCTCTCCCTTGTGCCGTCATCTAGCAGCAATGCCCACCGGTATTCTACATAGGACAGATGTGCCAGTCTCTATGCAGAAGAAGAAGTGGGCACAAATCTCAACATTTCTC